CGAAGCCGCGCCGCTCCTCGCGGCCCGCAGGCCGCGTCTGAGCACCGTCCACATCGCTAGCGTCCAGGTACTCAGCAGGTGCTCAAGAAAGGCTCGTCTCCCGAAAGAAGGCGTTTTCCGCAGATAAACGAAGTGCGAACAAGCACGCCTTGTCTGGATGATAACAGCACACCCTTAGGCTCGAGGAGCGTTGGAGGGTTTCCCTGGTGACGGAAGGGTAGACTGATTCCGCTACCCTCATTTTACGGGAAGGAAGACTGGCCACACAGCTAGGGAACCGGATTTACACCAGCCTAATCGGGCTGGCTCCAGGGACTTCACTTTTAACTCTCATTCTTTCTACTTTGATGCTCAACGTATACCTCTTTAACCTAAAAATGCTTATTTAGATGGCAGATGAGAAACCTAGAGCTATCCTCCCTTCCCGCCTAAAGTTGCAAGATAAATTCTCCTTTACTGGTGATAGCGCTAGACTCTTAGCCCAGAAGGATCCATAGACAAAGCCTTCCTTTGCTGGGCGCTGGTGGCTCACGCCTATCATCCTAGCTACTGGGGAGGCTGAGATCTGAGGATCACAGTTCAAAGCAGGAAAGTCTGTGAAACTCATCTCCAGTTAACCACCCAAAAGCTGGGAGTGGACATGTGGCTCAAGAAGTAGAGCACCACCCTTGAGCAGAAAAGCCTGCTTTTCTGTGCCTGGCCCGAGTTCAAACCCCAGTGCCACCTTGGGCCTTCCTTTAGGTGCTCCCCTGCTCCTTGAGCCTAAAATGGCTTTTATTATCCCTTCATTCCCTACACATCTGTTGTTTTCTGATGACACACTGCTTGGGTGGGGTTCTAAGCCTCTGCTGACCCTCTTTCCATCCAGATTCCTTCCTTGTCGGAGTTTCTCTCTGATTTCTCCCTGATGCCGGTGTGACAGTGTCCCACTCCTCTAAAAGCCCAGCAAGGTGGAGGAAACGTTTCTTCTGCTTCCTCTACATTCATAAACAGACGAGCAGCAGAGCTCTGTCCTGCCTCCCTGTAGGCCCTGGCACCCCAGCCGGGTTCTCTTCCTCACTTTCCGTCACTGAGGGGAGGAGGGAATAGGGGCTCTCACTGGAGGACCCTGCGGTGAGAGCTTCGGCTTCGGGGTAGAGGTCTACTCCTTTGCCTCCCTTGGGCCTACAGCTGGAAGGGGAGGGTGGAAAGGGGAGGGAGGAGGAGGTGGCCGTGGCAGAGGTGCCAGAGCTGGGCTCTCAGCCCTGGCTCACAGCTGCATGAACATCTGCCCAGCACGGAGCTGCTTACAAAGAGCTTTCATAGAAATGATCTCATTTCATCTCCAGGGCAACCCTGGGAGGCATGGGCTCGTGTTCCCATTATGCAGAGAGGCTCTGAAAGGTTTCCTCACCTGCTCTGGCCTGAAAAATAAGTGCCCTGGAAGGTCTGTGTGTCAAAGGTTACGCTGCCCTCCTGTGGCACGGTTGGGAGATGGTAGAACCTAAAGAGGTAGGGCCTAATGGGAGGGAGTTAGGTCATTGGTGGGGGGTATGTGAAGAGAGATCACAATCCTTCCTGTTTTCCTCTTTTTCTTGCTGCTATGAAGTGAGAGCTTTCCTCCACCTCCCAACATGTCACGCTGACTTGCCTTAGGCCTCAAAGGCCAAGTACTGTGCTGCTGAAACTAAACTGTAAACCAAATAGATCTTTCCATTTTTTTTTGGCAGTCGTGGGGCTCGAACTCTGGACCTGGGGCACACTCTCCCTCAGCAGTTCAGCTCAAGGTGAGCACTCTACCACTTTAGCCACAGCTCTGCTTCTGGTTTTCTGGTGGTTAATTGGAGATAACAATCTCATGGGGTTTCTTGCCTGGGCTGGCTTTGAATCATGATCCTCAGATCTCAGCCTCCTGAGTAGCTAGGATAACAGGCGTGAGCCACAGCACCCGGTGATCTCTCTTTCTAAGATGACTTTCCTCAGGTGTTTGTTCCAGTGAGGGAAAGCAGAGCCGTTGCAGGAGACTGCCGAGGCTGTGTGGGCTGTCCCCTTCAGGACACTTGTTGCACTGCTGAGTCGTCCCAGATATCTGCCCTCACCCACAGTCCTCCGGCTGCAGGGGTGCAAACCTGGTCTGGATCCCAGAAGCACATTATTCAGAGGGTCCAGCAGCTCCCTCCTGCCCATTACCAACCTCCAGCCTGGGGTCCATCAACACCTATGTTGGTGGGATTTACCTTTTTTTTTTTTTCAGTAGGTCGTGGGGCTTGAACTCTGGGCCTGGGTGCTGTCCCTGAGCTCTTCAGCCCAATGCTCTACCACTTGAGCCACAATGCCACTTCCAGTTTTCTGGTGGTTTATTGGAGATAAGAGTCTCATGGACTTTCCTGCCGGTCTGGCTTTGAACTGCAATCCTCAGATCTCAGCCTCCTAGTAGCTAGGATTATAGGCATGAGCCATGGGTGCCCAGCTTCTTGGTGGGATTTAAAACAGCCTTATTGCTGGGCACTGGTGGCTAACACCTGTAATCCTAGCTACTCAGGAGGATGAGCTCTGAGGATTGCGGTTCAAAGCCAGCCTAGTAGGAAAGTCCATGAGACTCTTATCTCCAATTAGCCACCAGAAATAGTGCTGTGGCTCAAGTGGTAGAGTGCTAGCCTTGAGCTGAAGAGCCTCAGGGACAGAGCCCAGGCCCAGAGTTCAAGTCCCACAACTGACAAAGAAAAAAAGCCTTATGTAAAAGTTATCCTTATTCAATGTACACTCTGTAGATTGTAGTATAGTCAATATTGAGTAGTCATCTCATTGTCTAATTCTAGAATATGTCCATCATACCTAAAAAGAAAATTCAAACATCCTCCCTCCCCTGTTCCCTGCAACCACTAATCTCTTTCTTTCTCCTGGTACTAGAATTTGAACTCAAGCTTTCAGCTTGCTTGCTTATCCAGCTGGCACTTGAGACATGCCTTCACACTTACTTTTTTCTGGTCATTTTAGAAATGGAGTCTCCAAGACTCTTCTGCCAGGCTCTGGCTTTGAAACTCAAACTTCCAGGGCTCAACTTCCTGAGTAGCTAGGATGATAGGCACAAACTACCAGCACCAGGCTATATCACTTTCTTTCTTGCTTTCTTTTCCCTTGCCCCCAGTCCTGGGGCTTGAACTCAGGGCCTGGGCACTGTCCCTGAGCTTCTTTTGCTCAAGGCTAGTGATCTGCCACTTTGAGCCACAGCTCCACTTCTCACTTTCTTTTTTTTTAAAGACAAGATCTTGCTCTGTAGCTCAGGCTGGCCTTGAACCTACCTACTCATTCATCAGTTGATGAACACTTGGCTTGTTTCACTCTGGCTACTAGAAATAATGCTTCTGGAAACATTTGTGTAGATTTTTGGGTGAGCTATGGATTCAGTTCCCTTGGGTGCTCACCCAGGAGTGGGTCACGTGATCACTCATCCTGAGGAAGGACCGGACTTTTTCCCCCAGTAGCTGCCTCAACGGAGCATCTCACCATCAACATGCAAGGTTCCAGCTCTCGGCGGTCCTCACCACACTTGCTAGTGTCTATCTTATTTTAGTGGATATGAACCATGGCATTCTCAGTATCATGATTTCCAGGTGCCAAGCTCGGGGGGAAGTAGAGAAGGAGCTGTCATCTTTGCCATCTGAAGAATCATGGCTGAAAGCTGGAGGTGTGGCTGTGTAGCAGGCAGGAATGGAGAGAGGCAGGCGCCATCTTCAGCTGTGTGTTGACCTGTGTCAGGCAACAAATAGATTGGACACCACCAGAGACAATGAAGTAGGTTAAGATATGATCTGTACACAGCCAGGCACTGACGGCTCAAGCCTACAATCCTAGCTGCTCAGAAGGCTGAGATACGAAGATTGCAGTTCAAAACCAGCCTGGGCAGAAAAAAATCTGTGGGACTTTTGCCTCCAATTAACCACCAAATCGCCAGAAGTGGAGGTGTGATTGAAGTGGGAAAGCTTCAACCTTGAGCAAATAAAGTCAAACAAGAGTCCAAGACTCTGAGTTAAAGCCCAATACTAGCACAATATATGCAAAAAGATATGGTCTGTAACCTAAGGGACTCTTTCAATAAAGAATACAAAACTTGCATCTACATTTATCCATCTACCCACTTCCTCTACCCAATTATCTAGCCATTCATGCAACATTCAGCCACCAGTCCATCAAAATATCCATCTACCTGCCAGGCAGAGTGGCTCACACGTGTCATCCAAGCTACTGTGGAGGCAGAAATCAGGATTGTGATTTGAAGCCAGCCTGCACAAAAAGTTTACAAGATAACACCTCATCCAATGAAAGCGGAGTGGTGGCATATGCCTGTCATCCCAGCCACACATGAAGCATAAAAGTAGAATGGTCTGTGCTGGCCCTGGAAGCAGGTGGGGAGACTCAAGGCCCTATCTGAAAAATCACTAAAGCAAAGAGGGCTGAGAGTGTGGCCCAAATGGTAAAGCACCTGCCTAACAAGTGGAAGGCCTTTACTTCAAGTCCCGGTACCACAAAACCAAACTCTGCCTGCCAATTCATCCACCCAATTATCCTCCATCAGCTTATCCCTCCTTCTGTCTTCTTGTCTATACATTCACCCAAATATCTACCCAACCAACCATTGGTGCAAACATTCAGCCATCAAGCATCAAATAATATCCATCTGTCCATTCATCAGTTCTTCCAGCCAGCCATCCACCCATCTTCCCTTCTACATACCCAACTATTCATCCATCCATCTTCCCTCTACTCACCCAACTATTTGTCCATCCATTCTTCCTTCCAGCCACCAACCAAATACCAGACATCAGGTCCCAGCCTCATGCATCCATCCACCCACCCATTCCACCTACCCAACCATCTTCCCATTCATCAAGCCATCCATCCATCATGCATCTGTCTACTCATCAGTCTACCTCACTTACCCTGAACACCAGAGCTAGGGCCCCATCTTGACCAAGTCAGGCTTCACAAGTTTAGCTCACCAAGATGAATGTTCCATGTTCTTTCTCATGAAACACAAGCCAGGAAGGATGTCCAAACTACACATGCTCCTCCACCTACCTGCAAACACTTTGTTCCATGATTGAAAACTTACTGCTATCTTCTGACCAGTTATGTCTCCACCACCCTAGATTTTACATTGGGACACCTTTTTCTTGACACTTCTCACCTTCTTGGAGACAGATACGAGGTGGACCACCATTTTTCAGATGAAGAAGTAGAGGCTCAGAGAGGTGAAATGACTTTTCCAAAGGCCCACGAAGGAACTCAGCGGCTCCTTTCTTCAGCCTTGTAGAGCACAGGAGAATCGGATCTCTCAGGAATGTTTCTGGGAATGCCACTTGGAATACTTGCGTGCTCCTTGTCCCCAGGGCAATCAGCATGAGGGTCATTGGATGAGCTCTTCCCCGCTTGGCCACCAATCCTAACCTGTCCTCAGATCTCTCAAACCCACCGTGGCCATATGGTCACCCATCCCTCTTGCTGCTGTTCCCTATCCCTGCTGCCCTTCCTTAATTTTTTTTTCTGTGCTGCAACTGAGGCTTGAACTCAGGGCCTGGGCACTGGACCCTAGCTTTTTTGCTCAAGGCTAGCACTGTACCCCTTGAGCCACAGCCCCACTTCTGGCGCTTCTTGCTGGTTATTTGGAGATGAGGGTCTCATGGGCTTTTCTGCATGGGTTGGCTTTGAACCCAAACCCTCAGATCTGTCTTCTGAGTAGCCAGAATTGCACGCATGAGCCACCAGCACCTGGCTAGGTCTCCCTCTCGACCACCTCTGGGACCTTTCCCATCTTCTGAAATTCTGTGATGCTGAATGTATAGTCCCCACGGAACAGAAAGTTCTGGAAACATTCAGGAAGGCTCAGAGCAGGTGGGCTACAGACACCATTGAGTCAGCAACTCTGAAAGTCATCCAGGAAACAGTGCAAGTTCATCTCAGGGCCCTCAGCCTTTGCTGAGCTAGAGGCTAACAGTGGAGGACCAGGATGGAAGTGTTGCCCCTTCCCTCATCTCTGAGATGCCTGATTCACTCCAGGTCAGTGCTAAGAACAGCAGCTTGCCTGGTGGCTCTTCTCTGCGCCCCATGTGCCTGGGAGCAGGGTCTTTGGGACAGGTGGATGTCTGCCATATGCCTCCAGTTGCTGTCGTGGGGCTGGGCCCCAGCGAGCCTCAGACATTGGCCAAGGTAATACTGAATGGATGGCAGAGCCACCAGCTCAGGTGGCAGGCATCCGCTGGGATCTGGTTCCCTTGGACAAAGGCTGGTGCAAGGGGCAGCTAAATAAATCATGAGGGGCCCGAGCAGGGGCAGCCAGGACAGCTGACCTCGTTCTGGAAGCTGAAGAGCAGGCAGCTGGGTGGTAAGTGGTCTGGGGCATGGCAGGGGGGGTACCAGAGGCTGGGGGTGGGGTGCTGCCTGACCCACCTCTGCCCTTTTTCCTTGAGAAGCAGAACTTTCAGTAGACCAAGTGGCAGTTCCGGTGAGAGGGTGTCTTGCTTTCCCAGGATCCTGGAAGCTGGGAGTGGGAGAGGGGAGGTTGGGACAGCAAGAATGGACAAATAGACAAAAGTGAGAAAGGCATGGGGCCACCAGAGAGAGTGACGAGCTGGCAGAGGCCCCCAGGGACATTGATGGACAGAGAGAGGGGTAGCAATGGCTGAAGGGATAGAGAACAAGGCAGGATGAAGTGGAGAGTCCGTGGGGGGGGGGGCGCTGGGGGAGCCATGAGCCAGAGATGGAGGCAAGAAATGCGGAAGGAGGAGGCCACAGCAACGGGAGGGGAGGCAAGACACTAGGCCTCCAGGGGACCCAGGATGGAAGCCGAGGTGTGGCTTCCTGGCCCTTATAGCTGAAAGCTGACAGCGTGGAGAAAGAGGAGGGTGTCCGAGGTGGCCTGGGCCCGGCTGGCAGGGCCATGTGAGAAGCAGCAGGCGGTGTGAGGGGCTTCGAGGGCATCAGGCCCTTCTAGCCCATGGAGCTAGGACCGTGGAGAGCCATGCCCACACCCACCCACCAAGCCACCGGCCTACAGGACACAAGACACACAGCAGGGCCAGACGGAGGTGCAGAGTCCTTGTGTCCATGGCCCTGCCCCAGGGCCCAACGGATGGCAGCACCCCTTCAGGGGACCCCAGCCCCTCTACAGGCACCCCAGGACCGAGCCAGGCCCCTGCCAGCCCAGTAGCCCGCAGACAGGCACTGCTCCGGGACCTGGAGGCTCAGGTGCAGGCGGCCTATGGGCAGGTAAGCGGGGGGGG